CCTGAAACTAGATTTTTTTATGGATTGATTTATTTATGGATTGAAAATATAGGCTTTTAAAATTGTGTTACTGATTGTTTTCAGGAAATCAGCATAACTGCTAAGAACAAATATAGAATCAGGAAAATTCAATTCAGTAACATTTCAGTTACATGTGAACATTTTAAAAATTGAATGTGTGAGAAAAAGCCAAAAGAGGGTCTCCAGAGCATGTTATAGCTAGTAATGTGAGTTTCTGTTAATAGAAAAAAGAAGAGAAACTTTAGGGAGGGGCATTAGCAACTGAAAATAGTGAAATGTGAAGAATGTACATTGGGTTATGATTTCTAAGATTAGTATAATATCAACATTTTGGCTGCCAAATAAATTTGTCAGATGCCCCTGGTTCATGGCAGTGAGACCTCAAACCAGCAGTAAAGTTGAATTCATTATTAAAAGAGTGTATGTCTTACGTTCACTTGAAAGCATAATTTGGCTTATTAAATAAAATGGAATTAGAAGTTAATGTTTTTTTTTCTTCTGCCAAAAATTGCTGCTTTCTCAGGGCCCTATGGCCACTTGTGAAGAGGCTTTATCAGGTTCTCTCGCTGCTACTGGTCATCTTTTAAAGTTCGCCTTCCTTTTGGTCTTTCCTCCCTCCTGTTTCCTCATTCCGTGGTGCAGTGGGTTATGAGTACCTCCTTTTCCATGCAGTTCGTACGTGTCTTCCCCCCTGGCCAGCAGTAGCACATTCTAGTTCTAGTGGGTCTTGAAGGACTTCACATAGATGGTTTTGCTGACTGTTCTTCCTCTGGGCAGAAATGACAAGTGATATCCTAAATGATCTCAAATCACAAATGATCCTAAGTGAATGAGTTCCTGCCCTACAAATACATTTTCCCTTGAAAATCAAGCTACAGCTTCCCTCCTTAACCCGTTCTGAAATCCACCAGCCTTCACTTGACTCAAGGTGACAGAGCGCCTCCAGAAGTCCTTTTTTGTATCTTTAAATATCACATTCCTTTCTTCTTATTCCATCTTAACTGAAGAGAAAAACATTTTATATGGAAAAGTCTGGATTTATTTTGAAAATATCTTCCTGAAAAGTTTAAATCCTGTCATCCTTCCTCACTGGTTTTATTTAATATACAAGCATTGAGTGTTTATGTGTTTGGGAAATGATGCTAAATACATGCCTCATCTTCTCAAACCTTTATATAAATACTATTACTATTCCCACTTTGTAGATAGAGAAATTGCTGGTAAGTAGAAGAGGCATAATTCTAAGCCAGAACTATCCCACACCAAAGTCAGTGCTCTTAGCCACTAGTCCTTGCCAAGGGACATGGCAGTCATGTCATTTGTCTTTCTTTGTTCAATTCCAAATGAGCCCTCAGTCAGTGTGGCAGGTAAGCCGAAAAACGGGGTAGAGGGGACACATTTCTGCCCTTCTGACAGCACTTACTCTGCTCCCTGACTTTTGAATGAGTGCAAAGGACTCCACCTTGCCTCTCCCCATCTCTTCCATCTGCCTTTTAGTCTTTCTTCCAACACGCCTTCGCCCCTTCATTCCTCTTTGCGCTAAATCTCAAGTAGCAAAGGGGCATGAGGAAAGGAACAGGGAGAGAAAATGAAAAGTAATGCTGGTCTTCTCTTTGCCCACTGTAGTCCTGCTCCATTTGGTAATCGTATCATTTCCTCATTATTTCCTTACACTGTTCAGCTCTTTTCACAAGATCCTTTTCATGAATACCTCGTGTGTACCTGTCTCAACGTTTGTGTCACATTCTACACGTGATAGAATTCCTGGGTTGAAAGGTATCTTAGGAAAGTCCACAAGATGAGGTTACAGATTCACAAATAGCTGCTCAAGTTAACATGGTTGAAATTTTTAAACTTGAAGTCAAATGTTGCGACTTTGAATCCAGTATTGTCCACTGCGCCACATTGATAAGAGAAAGAGCATTAGCATGTGTTTACCACTGCAATCTTGTAATAACAAAATGGGTTTGCACTCCATTGGGATGAGTCCTAGACTGTTGATGAATTATATCACTCTGAGGATGTCTTCAGTTCCATTTAATAGGAATATTTTAAATTTTACAGCGATGAACAGCAGCGAGATTACTTAATGGAAAGACGGGACCTCGCCATTGATTTTATTTTTTCTTTAGTATTAATAGAAGTTTTGAAACAGGTAGGTAATTAATTTATTGTTACTTTTAAATAGCACTTATTAATCTAAAAACTAATCAAGATTTGAAAGTCTAAATTTATTAAATTGTTTATGAATTCCAAATACTGGGTCACATATGAATTATGTTTATTGATTGCTAAAAGTCATATGTAGTTATTGAAAGTACTGTTACTGATTTGCTCTTTAATATTCTCTTCCAAGTTAAGAATCATCTTTTCATTTTTTTCTTTTTTTCAGATTCCACTTCATCCTGTAATAGACAGTTTAATACATGATGTTATTAACCTGGCTTTCAAGCACTTTAAGTACAAAGAAGGGTAAGGTGATTTCTCACCTTAGACTATTGAAGAAGTTGGGTGTTTAACACTAAATCAATGGTTTGCTCTTTTCAGACAACCAGGGGTCCCTAATTTGTCTAATTATACCTTCTCTTAGGTACCTTGGTCCTAACACTGGCAATATGCACATCGTGGCAGACCTGTATGCAGAAGTCATTGGAGTATTGGCACAAGCTAAGTAAGTGAACATCAGAGCCCTTTACTGTGAGAACATGAGTGCCTCTTTCTTTCCTCCCCAGCCCTCACTTAAGGGGGGGATATTTGTGAGCTAAAAGAACTAGGGCTCTTCTAGCCATGTGTGCCCCATCTCTGAAACTGACTAGAAACTCCTCCAAGGCAGATACTAAGTTATCTTGTTCACGATCAGTTGGGCCAGATTCATGATCAGTTGGGCCAGATTCTACCCAGAGTCTATGGGTTTCTGACAATTGCATAAAAGAAAGAAATGGACTAACCAAATTACTTTTCTCTCTGCTCAAATATTCCAAAGAAGGTTATCAGTTTTTAAAGTTCTGTTTCTATAGTCTATGAGTGGGTGGATACAATATATCATCAGTGAGTGGGAAAATTCCATTCTAGAATGCCCCTTTTACTATAGTCCTTAGTTCAGCTGAGCTAAAAATGTCCCAGATTCAGTCATGGAAACAAGTTGGAGGGAAAATTCTCATTGCTAAATTTATCTGGCCCCATAGCACTACTTAGCAGGCTAGAACAAAGTAGCGTTAGACTATTAGCTAGAATATACTTCTTCCAAAAGTGACGTCACACCCTACTTACCATCTTCATTTCATCCAACCCTGAGGCAAATTGGGCAAGATCCTGAACACCTAGGTTAGGCAAAATGAGCCAGAGACATAATGTGTTTTCAAGCCAAGAGGCCAGCTTAAAGCAACAGTGATGCCCCAGTCCTTGTGAAATGCAATCCTCAGAGAATTTTATCTTCTGGAAATGGAATTTCCTAACTTAATAGCATGGAAATACACAATTTATCCAAAAAAATGTTTTTTAAAGCACTTACTCAGCAGCCTTGCATAGCCAAAACATAGACAAGAACTCAG